TCTCGACATTTTCAGGCACGTCCCAGTCGTACTGAAATTGGAAGCTGTCCAGGCTACCTGCCTCGGCTGCGCATATGGGGGTTTCCGAAAATAGGGGACCCTAATATAGTACCCTAAATAATAGGATCCTTATTATGAGGACCCCCAAAATAAGGTACCCCTAATTTTTGGAAACTCCCAAATGGCAGAAACGTTGTGAAAATGCTGTTAGTTTGGCACCGTGCCATTCATGACCTAAACCCTAAACCCCTAAACCCCTAAACCCTAAACCCTAAACCCCTAAACCCCTAAACCCCTAAACCCTAAACCCTAAACCCTAAACCTGATGCTCAGCTCCATGCGCCTTCTTGATGTGACGTCGCCAGCTCTGCTGTGCCAAACTAAACCCCAGGGTTTAGGGGTTAGGGGTTTAGGGGTTTAGGGTTTAGGGTTTAGGGTTTAGGGTGAACCAATCCTGCACCCTAAACCTTGTAGATGCATATAGAAACCTTGGACAAAGAACCTTGGACGCCACCCTTTTAAAGTATGAGCGATAAAATAGTAATGTTTTTTTGGAGTACACCGTAGTCTACTTAATCCTATATCAAATGATAAGGAACCATCGAAAACAGCAATACCAGTGATTCCGACAAAAACAGTCGAACTCTCAAAAACACGGAATCCTGGCAGACACACCTGAGTCTTACAGCCTTAACCCGATCGAAGTCTTCCTATGAAAGGAGGAGCCCTGTAAAGAAACCTGAACCCTAAACCCTAAATCCTGAAGAGACCCTCAGAACAAATCTCTGGGAGAGCCTTGATCGAAGGGCTGCCGCCTTGGAAGAAGACGACGCTTCCCGCCAAAGTGACCACGAGCCTCTTCAAGAGCAACCCTTTAACGGTTCCCTTTAAGGGCTACGTTACGGGTTTCCATAAAGGCTCCTTTAATGGGCTATTGAATTTTTGTAGGTCATGAAGTTGAGTGCTGTAGGCTTTGGGGTTTTGGGCTTCGGGGTTCAGCGATTCAGCGCTTCGCGTTTAGGGTTCTTGGGCCGGGGTTTGGGGTTTATGGGGCTCGGGGCTTGGGGTTTGCAGTTTACGGTGTAACCATACTAGCAACAAGATTATGGGTGGTTGTGGAGCTGTAGTTTGCATCAATACTCGTAGTCAGCTGCATGTAGTCATGGCGATAGCCCCTAAACCCTAAACCCCAAACCCTAAACCCTTAAATCCTAAACCCTGAACCCTAAACCCTGACCCCCAAACTCTCATGCTCATTCATTTCCATGAGTCGCCGACTTGGGAGATTCCGTCTTTGGGGTCGCGAGTGCATATGCAAGCATGGAGTTTGGGGGTTTAGGGTTTAGGGTTTAGGGTTTAGGGTTTAGGGTTAATGTAGGAGCCTGATTAAGAAACCTTGGGTCTGTGTTAGAGTTCGCTATATGAATCCTTATCTTTTGGGGGTTCCAGGGCCAGGGTTTCTTAATCAGGTTCCTACATTAGGGTTTATAGGGTTTAGGGTTTAGGGTTTAGGGCTCCTTCAAAGGGTTCCTTTACTCTAAAGGGTTTTAGGGTAGCCAGTGCCCGACACAGTACCCAGAGGAAGAGCCAGTCAACAGTGAGAGGCAGTGAACAACGTCAGATGACATCGCACATATATTAACACCGCACGGATAATCACGGAACAAACGCACACACATACACACACACACATATATATATATATATATATGTCAAGGTGAGGATATATATGTATATACACGCACACATGTAGATATGCATTTGTGTGTACATACATGCATGAAGACATACATACATATATACATACATACATACATACATACATACATACATACATACATACATACATACAGAATACATACATATGTACAGACTTGCCATTCTCATTAGTATTGATACGACACTAAAACATGATATTGCTTACATGGTTCTTGCTGATGTTATCATTAGCATGATTAGCACTGCTCTATATACAGATATGCATATATCTATATAGCAGTGCGGACATGTACTTGTTTGTATGCTATAGGTGCGCAACAAAGAAAAACTGAGCATTGCAAAGCCGTGCATCTTCAGCAAAGCAAAGCTGATCACTTGACGCCGTGTGGGTTTACTGTAGGGCCTTAATGTGTATAACAAGGTCTTGGGATATTCTAGTAAGGCCCCTGCATTATGGGTGCATGGACCCTCAGAGATTATGATCATCACGGCCTTCCTAAGGTTCGGGCCTTGAGTCTGAGGGTAGGGCTTCGTGGTATCTTCTAGCATAGTTTAGGGTTTAGGGTTTAGGGTTTAGGGTTTAAGAGGGGACCCGATTTAAGGAATCGCATTATTAGTCATTCTGACCCCACTAGTAGAAGAGGGAACCCCAAGGAAGCGCATGATTCATCCTTCTGCCTCCCTATACCTTCAACCTTAAGTTAAAGGAAACTAGAGGTGGGGAGTGTAGGGTATATAGGGCTTCTATAAGGCTTCCATAAGGTCTATAGACCTTCTACAAGGCTCCTATAACGGTAACTACCCACCTGAAAATGTCCTAGACTTAAGCCCTAAACCCTAAACACTAAACCTTAAGCCTAGGGGTCAGCTCTTTGCACCAACTGGGCTTCCAACGCACCCAGCGTTCTCGCGGTCATATGTCCATAAGGCCTCTGGTTTAGGGTTTAGGGAAAGTTTAGGGTTTAGGGTTTAGGCCTCTGTTAAGGTTTAGGCTTTTGCGGGTTTAACGACCTTACTTCCCCAATAAGCCAGGAACGTAAAAGGTTAAACTCTCAGATTACTAGTAAACTAAGACACATGATACCGGTCTTGAAGGGGTTGGGGGTTTCTGGTCTAAGGTGAAACAATGAGTTCGGTGTTGGTCCCTAAACCCAAAACCCAAAACACTAAACCCTGTACCCTAACCCCTAAACCCTGTACCCTAAACCCAAAACCCAAAACCCTAAACCTGGTCCCTAAACCCTAAAACCCTAAACCCTAAACCCTAAACCCTAAACCCTAAACCCTAAACCCTCAAACCCAAAACCCAAAACCCTGTAAGGTCGTCGGCCTGGTCTTGCAGGTACGGGCCCAGGGCGCTGGGTTTAAGTTCTGCCCGAAGGCTCTGTTTAGGGTTTGGGGTTTAGGGTTTGGGGTTTGGGGTTTAGGGTTTAGGGTTTGGGGGTGTAGGGTTTAGAATATACCCTAAGGCTCTTGTTGCTGTTATGGGCTTTCTAGGGGAAGGTTTGGGCTTTGGGGGCTAAGGTTTGGGCTTTCACTACCGGGGTCCATGAGCCTCAGGGTAAGCCCTGAACCCTACTTGGAGGTTCATGGGTAGTTATAAGTGGAGTTATAAGTCCCCTTAAAGAAGGTTATAACTGTAGCTTCCTACTTATAACCCTACATATAACTACCCATGAACCTCCGGTCCAAGCAAACCCCAAACCCCTGAACAACCCTAAACCCTACCAAACCCTTAACCCCTACACCCCTACACCCCAAACCCCTAAACCCTAAACCCGTAAACCCGTAACCCCTAAACCCTAAACCCTAAACCGAGTCGGGCCTGCGTTCTCAGCACTCTCTATAAAAGCCTATACCACTCTCCTTTAAAGCTCTTACCCTTAGCATCAAAATCGCCCAAAAGCCTTGTATAATAGGGTCTTTGGGCCCAAAAGCCTTCAAACTTGAGTCCTTTGAGGGTAAGGGTTATAGAGCCCTTAAGTCAGAGTTCAGATAGATCGCTCTATCCCAAACGCTGGTTCAGCTTCTTCACAAAAAATGGAGGTTCATGGCTAGTTATGAATAGGGTTATATGTTGGGTATCTATAGTCATTATAGCCCAAACTAGGGGACATCTAACTCCACTTGTAGCTACCCACGAACTTCCAAGTAGTATCATGTAGGTAGGCTTCGCTGTTCTTGCATGGTGCCGCCCCAACTTCAATGGACCCTACACCCTAAACCACCCTAAACCCTAAACCCTAAACCCTAAACCTTAAACCCTAAACCCTAAACCCTAAACTCTAACCCTAAACAAAACCCTGACTCTTAAACTCAGCCGGTCTGCTCGGATGACAGGTATGTGGAAGCTTAGTGAAGGGATGGATGCTGGGCTTTGGGAGTAGGGTTTAGGGTTTAGGGTTTAGGGCTCTGGGAATAGGCCAGCCAGAAACAACAGCAACATTATCGTTCCAGACAAGCCCGTGTCCATGACTTCTTAGGGTTTAGTCAGTTTCAGTAATTGCTAACAAGCAATGGGCAACTCAATCACAAACGCCTTGCACAGGGTCTGCATGCCGACACATCGTCTACTTGGTCAACACAGAAGTTCGACTCTCCCCCACTGAGAGATACGACCCTTACAAGCAGCATCGAGCAAGCGGTATGCAATGTGTGGCTTTTAGGGTTTAGGGAAGTTTATTGTTTAGGTGTGTGTATATACATATATGCAACTACAGTCAGTAGCCATAACACAGGATATGCAAAAGACGTACGACAATCCAGGGTCCCGGTCGAGGATCCGGACGCTGAGTATGTAGGGTTCTAGGATGTTTAACATACCCAAAGAAGCGTGTCCATGTACCCAAATGTAGGCCTTGAGGGCTTGGTCTGCGGCCTTCTTGGCCTGCTTATCCCTGACGTCCAGGGTGACATCGTCAAGCCAGAAGTCTTGGTGTTCCGTCAGCTGGCTCTGCTGCACCTTCAAGAGGGGAAAGAACATGGCCAGCTTTGAGATCGCCGGCGCCAAAGGACATCGATCTGCCAGGCCAGAGGGTGAGCGCAGCAAGGTCTTCACCAACGATGGTGCGCCCGCCTTCGTACACTTGCAAGGCGAGTTCCAGCAAGTGAGGAGGAAACTCCAGGGCAATAGCATCCTGCGTCAGTTCCGAGATATCGATAGTGAGAGTCGTAAAAGCCAGGCGTGATCATGTGGATCTTGGCCGTACGGCTAGACTCCATGCGCACCAGCCATAGACCCCTGCATAGAAACATTGGGGCCCAAGTATGATCACACTACCTGGGCACATGGACCCTGAGGGATAACTTAACCATAGTTGCAAGTCTTTATAGGCCCTAAACCCCAAACCCTAAACCCTGAACCCCCGATTGATGTGCTTATCGGCTTGCTCATTACGTTCCCTTGAACCCTGAATCCCCTCGAAGCATTAACAACACCCTCATAGGCTCATCGGCCCTAAACCCGTTTCCAAACCCTAAACCCTAAACCCTAACCCTTATAAACCCTTACCCCTCTAAACCCTAACCCCTGTAAAAACCCAACCCCAAACCTAAGCACCTTTCGCATAGACTTGCTCCTTACATCCCCTGAAGCTCCAACGATTGCCATCTACGAGGGTGTGCCAGGAAAGTCTTCCCCAACCCTAAACCCTAAATTAAGGCTCCACGTGCCTGCTGCAACTCCCTAAACCCCAAACCCATACTCTCCAGTGGTTTAGGGTTTAGGGTTCAGGGGTTTAGGGTTTAGGGGTTTAGAGTTTAGGGTGTAGGGGGTGTAGGGTTTAGGGTGTAGGGGGTGTAGGGTTTAGGACTTTGGCCTTAAAGTAGTCCCTATAGCGGTACTTTGGGGCCAAAGTATATACAAAAATTGGGCACATGGACCCTGAAACCCCAAACCCGTGTGGTATACCCCTAAACGAACCCTTTAAAGGAACCCTTTCAAGGGAACATGAGCCCGTAGGGTTTACGAACTGTTAGAGAATGGGCCTGACTATTGGAGCACGGCCAGGTTTATTTAAATAATGGTTCCGTTTATTCCTGTACCCTAAGCCCTAAACCCTAAACCCTAAACACGGTTGAGGGTTCAGGGTTTCGGGTTTGTTGATGATATGAATCCTGCATTACCTCAAGGACCCTAAACAATGGGAAGTATGGAATGTTCCTGAGTACGGGTAATGCAGGATTTAGATCATCAACCGTAGGTTCCCCAGTTGCAACTGAATATTACGGTTACCCTTTTCTTTTTGTAAGGGAACCAACAAGGAAAGGCAAAAAGGTACTACTGGGGAACCTAGTTTAAAGGGGTTCGACAAGGGTTTAGGGTGTAGGGTTTAGGGTGTAGGGTTTAGGGTTTAGGGGTTTTAGTACGTTTTTTCGGCCTGAAGATTTAGAGTAAGGTGTTGGGTGCAGTTTTGCTAGTTCTATAGCGAGGAAACCTTAGCGTACTACGACGACGACTACATCCTTGTGCAAATCCTTTCACACCCAACCTTATAGGAACCCGGAGCCATTGATTCCGAAGCCCCCCCCAAACCCCTAAACCCTAAACCCTAAACCCCAAAACCTGTAAAACCCTAAACCGTCGCAGTCTCGGGCCCAAGCGACAACAGGGTCAACAAAGCCGTACCAAATGGAACTGCGAGTGCATTCACCAGCTGGACCTGAAGCGCCGATGTTGGGTGGATCCCATAACCTCCTACTTAAAGGTCGGGTTTAGGGTTAGGGCTTAAGATTTAGGGTCAGGGCACTTGTATGTGCGGTTATAGTCTAAGTAAGTACAGCTATAGCCTATTGAGATTTGAGATACTTATGAGCTTTACTTACTTCCTCTAATTCAGGAACCTGAACCCTATAAAAGCCTGCATCTTTGAGGTTTAGGTTTAGGGTTTAGGGCTCCTTGGTAGGATTTCTTCTTCCATCGGTCCTACAAAAATAGGGGACCCTACTATAGTACCCTAAACAATAGGTTCCTTATTGTAAGGACCCCAGAATGAACCCTAAACCCTAAGCCCTAAACCCTAAACCCTAAACTCCCACATCGGTCCTACAAAGCAATGATCCAGGCCCGGGATCGAGGCGTTGCAGATGTCTTCATCGGCTGTAGCAATCATAAAGAATACAATATCATTCCTACACTATAAATATTTAGCTAATAATATATAACCGAATAATCATATCTTCTAGCCCGCAATAAGATGAAAGAAACCCGAATAGCCGTCTTGGAGGTTCATGTGTAGCTATAAGTAAGGTTATAAGTAGGGTAACTACAGCTATAACCTATATTAGGGGACTTATAACTCCACTTATTGAACCTGGAAGTTCATTGAGGCCCATACAGGGCTTTCAGCGGTTTTGGAGCGTTTGGCTTACAGGTGTGGTGTTTAAGATCAAGGGGTCCTTGTAGGTTGCAATGGTGCTCCATTGAAGTTCGTTGCATTTTTTCGTAGAGTCGATGGACCTAGATAGTATACATACACCTAAGGAGTCAATAACAAATTGGGACTTGCCGAAGCCCAGACTTGTACCAACTGTTTGGATATCCTACTCTTTGCTGAGGGTGCATACATACATACATTCATTCATACATACACACAGGTATGAATGAATGAATGAATGAATGAATGAATGAATGAATGAATGAATGAATGAACGAATGAATTAACCGAAGAATGCAGGAATGACTAAATGTATAAATGAATGCATGAACGAATCAATCAATCAATGATTGCAGGAATGAATAAATGAATAAATGAATGAATGGATGAAGGAACGAAAGAAATAATGACTGACTGACTCACTGACTGGCTGACTGACTGACTGACTGAATGAATGAACGAAAGAAAGAATGAATGACCTAATTAATAAAATGAATGAATGTATGTATGTATGCATGTATGTGTACAAGTAGACGTATACACATACACATATACATGTGTATATATATATATATATATGTATGTATACACAAGCATATACATACATACATACATACATACATACATACATACATACATACATACATACATCTGGATACATATATATATATATACATATTATAATGTATGAGTGTATCGCAGGTGCCTCGACTGTCAAGAGCTTTGCCAAGAACACGAAACCCAAGCATCGTCTGTTGCACTCGTGTCGCAGAGTGTCAGGAGCAGTTGAGCCCTGAACAATCCTCACACTATCAAGACATCAAGTCCATAAGCTCTCAATAGCACTCCCCGAATCGAAGTCGCCCGAACCTGCTTGAAGTACATGCATCATCCACACTCTTGTGCATACTGGCTGGCAATACTTGATCCTCAGCTCGAGCCCTGAACAGTAAACACACCTCTTTGAAGCTTTTCGCTACTTCATCACAACTGTGCCAAAGCCAAACCTGTGTTATGACTTGAGCTCACAGTAGCAGGACTTTTTCGGGTTTAGGGTTTTAGGCTTTAGCGTTTTGGGGTTTGTGGCGCAGTAGGGTTCAGGGCTTCGACAACTGTTTAGGTTTCGGGTTTGTGGTATTCGGGTTTCAGGGTTTCGGGTTTAGCTAGCTTTTGTTGGGTTCGAAGCCTGTGACAACACTCCGGGCACCCGGTCGGTAGAAGCATTTGCAGCGCGCAGGCCCCAGGTAAAGGTCAGGCGAAGGGCGGCGCTTGCCACAATCTGGCAGGAGTACTGTCGGGGCCTTACATATTCTGGGCTCCTAGAAAACATAGTACTTGTTGGGGCTTCTATGTTAACAACGAGAACGAGAACCATGTAAGAATACTGGACGGTTTACACTTTACACTTTAGGTCTGGAGGTTTAGTTCCACTGGTGACTATGTAGTAGCTGTGACAGGAACTCTTTAAGGCAGCGACCCATGTACGTCGAGCAGGAGATATGCCGAAAAACAAGGATGAAAGCAGACAGATGCACTGCTAAAAGTTCACGGACAGACAAGGACAAAGAAGCGGCAGATAAGGCAGGCAACACTTGTGCTGCTATTATTCGGATCATAGCAGCTGATGCGCAGACCGCAAACTGGTTCCTATATAACACCTCGATTAAGAGCCTATGTATCCACCCCACCTCCCCCCATATGATCCAGGATGCCCACTCCCTGCGGGGTGGAGTGTGGGGTCGCTCTTCCCCCTGTGGGGTGGTTGTGGGGTTGTGGGGTTTAGGGTCTAGCTGAAGCTTTTGAGCTTGGGGTGAAGAGCTTTTAGAGCCTGCATTTAAACGGGGTTTAGGATTGGGTGTAGGGTGTAAAGCACAGGTTAAGGTTAATAAAAACGGGAACACGCCCTACGCGATAGGGTTTATAGCTTGCATATGGCTTGCGCAAGATCCCGGCCCTCTCTGTGAAAACCCTAAACCCTAAACTCTAAACCCTAAACCCCAGCTGAGCTGCAGCTCCATCGGCCCTGACCCCTCTCCGGGCAAGCCAGACCTCCCACCCCTCTCTCACCCCAACCAGACCATACCATGGGGGGGGAGGGCTGGGAACGCCAGACGCCTGACTATATAAATAAATATATATATATATATATATATATATAACATATATATATATGTATATATATATATATACTTATTTATTCTTTTACAACTATTTATATTTATGCTTACATTTATACTTATATTATATGTATATATAGGTACTTTAGGCCTACAGGGGAGCAATTCGAACATCCACAGGGTCAGCAACACGATTCCTGTGCCTAGCAAGTTCCCGGGCCATGTAGTTCACCTGAATTTAGAATTGGTTTAGGGTTTAGGGTTTAGGGTTTAGGGTTTAATTCCCGAAGATTCCAAGCAGCCCAAAGTAAGCACCGTCTGTATGGACTTCAGAGAACTTAGTTCCGGTACGATTTGTATACTTGGAGTCTTAGGGATTGGGGGTAGGGAAGAGTTTAAAACTACCTATACACCACATTGCAGTTCCGTATTTGGGGTGTAACCAGTTTTATGGTTAGGATCATATAAGGCAACCCCAAAAAAGTAACTACAATTAGAGACTATGGGAAAGCCCTAAGACCTCAACTTCAATGCCCATAGACGAGGTGCAGGACAAACTATCACTGGACTTCGAACCTCCTTCGATAAGTTACCTATTTCGACCCTATGGCAAGAACCCTGAGGAAATTCAAAACGTTAAGGTCCGAAGGATCCTACGGTCCTACCCAGACCTTCCGACATCCCTTAGTTAAGATCATATTACCTTCAACCATATGAGGGGTCCTACTTTAACTTCCGGTACCTCTCGGAAATCCCTGAAGCCTGCATACTGTACGGAGGGCCTTAAGCTCAGATCTAAGGCTTTGCGGGTGGAATTACAGTATAACTGCAAAAATGGAACTATAAGATAAGACTACTTTGTATTGAATAATTTGTATTCCGGCCTCTGTTCAGAGCAACGGCACGAAAAAAACCTGACGTGTCAAATCTCGATACGAACGACCCGAGCAACATGAAACCTTCACAGCCCCCCGTAAACCCTAAACCCCCACAGCCCTGGCCCTAAACCCTAAACCTCAAATCCAAATCAAATCCTAAGTCCTACGCCCTTAATTCCCGAAGCCCTGAACCCCAAGACCTAAAATGCACACTCCCAAAGGCTCCATGTACCCATATAGTATATACTTAGGCCTTAAGTGTATATACGAAATAGGTACGTGGAGCCTTAGGGACTTCTTTGCTCCGTGGTACAGGTCTAGCGCCGACAAGTGCCGAGTATACCCTCAGGGTATGTCCACTGCCGCAGCTTTAGGGTTTAGGGTTCAGGG